GTAAGTTAATTTCAAGTTGTTTGTTTGAAAGTTAATGAAGATTTGTAAAAAAAAAAACAGTATCACAGTGACCAGCATCCTGGCATGCGTTGCAGTCGATTATGCAATACTCCATGTCTCGTTTGGGCAATTATTTGCACACTTGTGTGTACCACGCACTTGAAACCATACTGCGCACTTTGGTGGTTTGTGCACTTTGCTGAAGACCACATTGCAAGTATTAGGGTTGGGCCTAATATGGCATCGCCTAGAAACTGAAGGTATTTCTCAATGTCAAGGAGCCTCACCTCGATGCCTAGGTCCCACCCTGGTTGCCTAGGAGGTACGTCATCAGAAACCGCCAAGGTGTGTGCCATGTTCATGTGCTGCTGCGAAGGCGTCTGTCCTCCGTTTGTGTACCGTTTAGCTAACTGGCCAAGGATACATGGGAGGTGTCTTGTTGCCTACTGTCAATGAAAAATTTCCCAGAATACAGTGCAGTATTTTCAAAAGGATGACGGACCAGAAGCTGTCAGCAGCCGCTTACGGGGTCAAATTTCCAGTTTAAATGCAAGTCAACTAATTCTAGCTATCCAGCTATAACTAAAATTTCTTTGGTGTGTTCTTGCTGTGTTTACTTTCAAATTCCATCTTTCAGTTCTTTTTGAAACACAGAAAAGGTTTATTTACCTGCAACGTTTCGTTTGAGGCTGCAAACATCATCAGGCTGACGCCTCCTTCATTTATCCGCGGGCAGCAGAGAACGTTGTCACCCTCTCCCCTCTCCGATGATGCAGTCCCATGTGCGATCCAACGAGTAAACTCCATCGTCCCTGTTCATGGTCCCACATCCACGTCTCCTTATCTCTATAGCTTCTTTTATCCATCTTTTGTATTTCTGTTGTTCGGTGTTAATGATCCTTGTGTTGTCCCAGTCCATTAGGCGGTTTTCTCTTGTGCAGTGATCTGTCACGGCTGACTTCTTTATTGTGCTTTCTGCTTCTTCTTTTGCTGCTCTTGTGTGTTTTCGACCTGTTTCTTTCTCACACTCCTTTCTATGTTCTGTTGTTTGTGTGTTGAGTTGGCGTCCGGTTTCTTCTATGTATGTTTTATATCAGCCACCATCGGCGTCAGCCTGATGATGTTTGCAGCCGCAAACGAAACGTTGCAGGTAATTAAACCTTTTCTGTGTTTTAAAAAGAACCGAAAGATGGAATTTGATAACTAAAATGTTTTTTATAGATCCAAAACAGTTATCTATGGTTGGTTAGTAGTTGCAGCTTCCGTAGCTAACTGGTAGTAACTCACATACATATTTAATTTAACCAATATATACACAATTTAAAAAGTAAAATGCTCGTTATACATTTATATTGAAACTTATATGTATAAAATATAACTTTACCTCACCTGTCACGTGACGTGATCTCTGATTCTTTCAAATTTAAAGAAAATTTTTTCAACTTGAAAAGAAAGATCTGAATCAGAAATAACTGAAAAACATTAATATAGAAAAACAAACATTTCAAGCAGAAGATGTAAAAAAAACACAAGAAGTGAATTAAATCTGCATTTAAATTGAAACTAACTTCTTAACCAATCTATTTTGAAAGTTCCTGATAGTGTTGGGGGTAAACGATTATTTTTAAAACGATTATTCTGACGATTATTTTATGGAATAGTCAACTATTCTAATGACTATTTAGACAATTAATCTAATGACTATTTTTCTATTGCACAGTTAATAAAAACCAAAAAAAAATCTAATAAATTCCTCAAAAAATTGATAAATTGTTACTGTAGGAGAATAAACACTACAGGCCTTCCATTTTGTATAACACTGCTTTTATTGTGTTGCGGTTGGTTATGTTCTGGTGACATGTAGAACTTGGGAGTGCAGGCTGCTGCCTGAGAGGTGGTTTGAAAGACGGAGTGTCTCCATGCTGCTTTGTTTTGGTCTCTTATGTGCGTGAGGCGAGTGGTGTTACCACCCTTCCTGGGGAGTTTGGCTCGTGTGCAAAAAGGAAGGGACAATAATGGGATTCAAAAGTGAAAATGATGATCAGGTTTATTTACAACTACAAAAAAAACATAAATCTTTCCATCCACAGGTTGGGAATAATAAAATTAATTCTGCCTGTGGGGAATTAAAACTAAAGTACAAATAACTAGGGTTGTCCCACTGGGCAAAGATTACAGGGTTCTGGACCAAAATAAGGATCTCCAAAGGTCCAAACTCTAAACTGGGTGGTTAAACCAAACTCAAGGTGATATTTTAAACTAAACCGAAAACCCACAACACTCTAAATGTAATAAAAGGGAGATCTGCACCACAAAAAAGATGAACTCTAAACCAAAACGTAACAGCTTATTCAAACGCAAGAAGCTGTTGGTAAAGCTACTGTTAGCATCTTCGCTAACGTTAAGTTCAAGATACCAAGTTTAAATAAACCAAAATACCCAGCAGCAAACAGACCAGCACGGAGGAGAGACTGCTACCACCAAAACAGCTCTCCTAATGTCTGAAAGAAGCTCCTTTATGAAGGGAGAAACGCTCCCGGTGATTTTCTACGTCTGCGATAGAGACGAAGCAGCGCATCTGACCCCGGAAGTTGTTGTCCGTTGCCGGGAGACGAAGGCGGGCAAAACAGGAAAGGAATCTAGTAGCGGACGGACATCGTTCCGGTTCTTCGATATTTGGTGGAGATGTTAGTGAAGGCGGAGAAGAGGGCGAACTAGAGGAAAAACAGGCAGATTCCTCCTCTATTTACAAACTCCTGGGGATGCAACAAGTGGGCGCGGTGCGTCGACTACCGGATCTGACATCGACGTCATCGAGGCTTCGCTACAGCCCTAGTTCCAGATCAAAACTGAACTTGAGTTGTTCTGCCTAAGCAAACAAACCTTATGGTCCTGATTTCGCTCCATAAAGTGCTTTTCTCATTACAGTGTTCCTTTTCTGTTCTTGTAGCTTTGAGCCGATCACATGACACAAATTCATTTGCTCTGAGAAACTAGTTCAACCAGACATCAAACAGATGACTTTATTGTCTATAAGTTGGTTTTAGGTTAGAATTAAGGCGAAAGTCACATAAGCTGCAGTTAAAGTGAAGATCTGTCTGGGACTGGTGAGGAGGACAAACCAGAGCTTTTTAGTTGGGATCATATGACGTTTTACATCTGGTTGGGTCGGATCACATGAATGAAAATAATCCTGACAGTTTTCTTCTCACAGCTTAGTCACAGCCTTAGTCCTTTATTTGTTTATTTTAGTCAGTTTTGTCTGCACCTCCTCCCAAAGTCCTCCTGCCTTTTTCCACTCTGACTCGATTTAGGACGTCCTTAACACTTTGGAAACATTTGAATGCAACACGGTCGTGTCATTCTGAATGTTGTGAACAAAACACGGTTTTGAGTTTTGTTTTGTTTTAAACATGTTTATTTGTGATTTTGCTGAGAAAAAAATCTCCACAGATGTTTTTAATCCCAAAATCAATGAACATTAGTTTGCCCGTTCCTCTTCTCTTTCTCTGTCAGTGGTCATTTCACTTTACGCTGACACACACACACACACACACACACACACACGCACACTCACAGAGAAAACACTACACGTCTTTGTGGTTTGGTTTGGCTGCTGTCAGCTGCAGACAAAACACTGAAGATATAGAGATGTGTTTACAGCTGAGAGAGGAGGACACAAAGACGCACACCAGGAACTGCCGCTGCCTTGATGTTTGACCTCGTCCTGGCTTCCTGGTCCAGAATTTTCTTTCTGCCTTCATCCAAAGTTCTGGGAGCTCCAGCTCTGTTCCCCACCTAGTCTCTGTGAGTCACTGATTATTATGCGTGACTCTATTTGTGCCACTTTTAAGTTTAATAGAGAAATACAGTTAGATTTTTAACGTGAGGCAACAGAAACGGCTTACGATAAATAAAAACAGAGCCTGATCTCATCCGACAGCCTCCACTGTAATTTCATGAAGCCAACACATATTTTTCTGGTTTGAGAGCGTCTCTGTTGATCTGTCAGTGATTCATTTGATAGTAAAAGCAGCTAAAATGGTCATTTTTAAGATTCCCATCATTAGATGTCTTAGAACAGCAGCTGTCAGTGTTTACTGCTGTCTCTCAGGGACGTTTCATCTCATAAACACCAACAGTAAAGAGCATTTGTTCCTTGAAAGCTGCCTCGCTGAATAAAACATCATTCACCTCGTCAGCCGAGTTTAAACTGTCACCTGCTGCTTCCGAGTTTCAAAAACATGTTTGTGGGCCGGAGGCCAGAAGCACCTCTGCAGAATGTAGAAGAACGTTTTATTCAGAGAACAGATCCTGATACAGATCCTTCTGGTAAGAAGCAGGAACAAACACTTCTGTGTGACTGATGCTGAGTCAGCGCTCTGATGATGATGATGATGGTTGTTTTACTGATGAAGAACACAGATCAGGTCAGTAAAGCTGATTAGAAATGTTTAAACAAGAAATCTCTTTGTTTTGGTTCCGTGTGACAAAGCTGCTGCTGCAAAGGATTATGGGGCAGAAATGTAAGTCAGACATGTTTTTATTCAGCGACCAATCAAAGTGAACGGCTTGTTTCTGACTTTCCACCAAAGTCGATCAGCGCTGTGAAAACCATATCTGTTTGTTTGAGCACATGTCCCTAACGTGTGTGTGTGTGTGTGTGTGTGTGTGTGTGTGTGTGTGTGTGTGTGTGTGTGTGTGTGTGTGTGTGTGAACAAGTCGTGCTGCTGTGTATCAGAACAGCCTAATCTCTGCTCTGCAGCTTTACCCACTGCTGCTACTGGACAGCTTCACTACACACACACACACACACACACACACACACACACACACACCATGGAATCATCTTCTGTTTTAGTACTTTTATCCTATTTTCCTGTGAACATGAACATTATTTACTTGTATTTTTGTACAAATGATAAGAAAAATGCAGTAAAACAGATAAAACTGTAGAATTTCCTGTTGTCTCACTGGCAGCTGAAGGCAGCGTAATAATAACCACGATAAAGTCTCAGACCAGTCCAACCGTTGTCAGATAACTTGATTGTGTTTGATTTCTCCAAGTTCTCCCAACTTCCAGCAACAGTTTTATTGTTTCTGATTGTTTACAAGTAAATGTGGGACAGCAGCAGCTCAGGAGGTAGAGCAGGTGTTTCAGTAATCAGAGGGTTGCGAGTTCTATCCCAGCTCTGACCAGAGAGTGCTGCTGTTTGCCTTTGGGAAAGACGCTTAACCCTTGCCTGCTGGTCGGAGGCACCAGGGCAGCTGTGGCTACGTTGTAGCTCATCCCCACCAGCGTGTGATTGGGTGAAAGACTGATTGTGTTGTGAAGCACCTTGGGGGGTTGTGGAACCCTAAGGTGGTGCTATACAAATAAAGGCCAGTTCCCATCCACGTTTAAAAGATCGGTTTATCTTTCACAACCTGACAAGCTAACTGGACTCGCCGTCGCTCAGCAGAACCTCCTAAGAACCAGGGTTTTATCAAAATCCTCCCTTCTTCACCCTTTATACACCTCTTAAACAAGTCGACTCCCTCGCTGCTCTCCTCCCTCACTGACTCACACACACACACAACTTTCTCCAGACAACACGCCACACTTAATTATCCACTCGCACACTTGTGTATGTTTTTGGTGTGTGGTTTGCCAATGAGGCGTTTTCTGGAGCTGGTGCTGGAGCGGGTTCTGAATGTGTCAGAAAACCTCAGGCTGAGAAAAAACAGGAAACAGAAAAAGAAGAAGCTCAAAACTAGGAGAAACAAACGGGTGAGTATTCGAATCATCTGTCAGATGTCCAAATCTCGGCGTTTGTGTTTAATGACCTTTTAAAGTCAGATTTTTGTTTATTTAGACGCTGTCAGGCTGCTTTAATCTGACTGATTTATAGAGGTGTGTGTGTGCTTGTGCGTGTGTGTGTGTCCCTAGTCCAAGCTTTAAAAGTGTGTGTGTTCACTTTGTGTGCATGCTACCAGAGATTACTTCACATGATCTCAGACAGGTGTGCAGAATACCGGGATTAGTATGCATTTTGTGTGTGTGTGTGTGTGTGTGTGTGTGTGTGTGTGTGTGTGTGTGTGTGTGTGTGTGTGTGTGTGTGTGTGTGTGTGTGTGTGTGTGTGTGTGTGTGTGTGTGTGTGTGTGTGTGTGTGTGTGTGTGTGTGTGTGTGTGTGTGTGTGTGTGTGCGTGCGTGTGTTTTGCTATCCCAGATTACCCTAAATTTATCTTTCAGCAGCTGACACATGAACTGACATGACATCATCATTAACGTTGGCAGTGACATCATCCGTGACAACACAGGATGTCCTTTTCTGATTTCTATTTTAATCTTTTTGCTGCAAAACAGAGAAAATGATGATTAACGAGGGTGAATAAAGCGTTTAAAAAAAATCAAACCTAAACCATCGTGTATGGAGAGAATTTAGTCTCATTATTACCATAAATGTAATTCAAGTTTTTAACTTTAGTTATTTAAATGGACTTTCTGAATAAGACACCAGTTAATATTTAAGTTAAGCTAAAATAGTAAATGAAAGCTCACGAATTGTTACAGATCGTAGACGCAGACCAACGGGTGTATCCAGCGGGTCACCTGTTGGCGTTTGGGAACCAAAACTCTTTGGTTTTGCTTTTATATTCTGTTTAATTTTAATTCCTGCTGTAAAACAGACACTGACTTCAAAACATAACCAGCTGTAAATGTTGACATTCATTGAAGCAGAAATCTGGAGTTTTTTTCTCAGAGGGCACCATCTAGAGGCATAAAAATGTGTTGCACCTTTAAGCCCCTCGCCCTGTTTACGTAGGGCTAAAACTCGTTATACAAATATTATTCTCATCTTTATTTAAATATATAAAGAAAAGACTTACTTGTCCATAAGAAATGTAGCCAACTCTGCATCAGTGTAGTTACGTCCTTAAACGTTTGCGATTGACGTCCGTACGGAAGCAGATGTCTAACGCCATTGGCTAATGCTGAGTGGAACTCAGCTCAGATTGCATGGGGGTCTATGGGACAGGGCTTAGCAAAGATAAATGACATGCTGCCTACATTACATCACGGTACACAGTCAGACCAACACTGATACGGATTTCTAAAAAATCTGACATAATTCCTGAAAGGCAGACGCTCTGGATAAGCTAACAGACTGTCGAGTTAACCATTAGGAAGGTCATTGTACTGAACTGCCCAGCCATTGAGCAGGTACACTTCCCTTTGACCCTGTGTATTTCCATGGTTACAGGTGATCCTGACCGTTTACCTCAACAACACTCAGCAGATGCTAACAGAGGTCCCCATTACCCCGGCAACCCGGGTGGTTGATGTGGTGGAGTACTGCAAAGAGGCCGGCGAGGGCGACTGCCACCTGGCTGAGGTGTGGAATGGACACGGTGAGTTCATGATGCTGGTTCATAGACATTTGTACAGGATGGTGTTGAATTTAAAAATGCGATCAGCTTGATGAGCGTTCAGGGGGCTGCTTGGAGCGATGGACGAGAGTTTGTGCCTCAGAAAGCTTCAGCATCACGCAAACGGTTCAGTTCTTACGGTGTCGTCGTGTTCATCTGCCTGGTGTTTCTAGACGAGCTGCTTTTATTTGACTTAGAAAAAGTTTCAGACGTGCACTGATTTTGGGTTTGTGGGTTTCTGCTGATTCCAGTTCATCTCGAAAAACTGTAAATACAATAAGACCATTCTTGGTTATTACCTTGAACATGAGATTCTGAAAACAAAAACTTAGAGGTGATGGATAGGATCTGCATCGTGAGGCAGACACGTCGGGTTTAAGTTATCCTGAATTGTGGTGATTAACGACTCGTAAAGGTGGAACGCTAAAGTGAGGAGGTGCAGCACCGGACCGTTTATCAGCACATCAGAGACAGAGGTTCTGTCTGTGCACCAGCAGACACATTAAACCCAACCAAGACAGCTGAGTGACACCGGTGTTGTGTCAAAAAGCGTTCCTCCTCTCTCTCTCCTCTTTGCAGGCGTCGTCGGTGAATCGAGTCAGATCATTTTATTTATTTACTTATTATTTATTTAACTTATGTTTTTCAGGAGGATAAACTGCTTGAGATGTAACATCTCGTTTTCGAGCAGGTCCTCCTACCGATAACAAGTAAGGTGGCAGAGTTAGAAAGTTATAACAGACTTAAAAAAGAGAAAAGAAGGAAAGTAAATAAATAATAATAGTAAAAATAACGATATGTATAAATATATATATACACATGTAAATATATGCGTACACACACACAAATATATACACATATGCATGGATACATAGATACCCACACACGTACATACGTACATACATACCTATTTACACAATAAAATTAAATAAAACTGCTGTGAGGCACTCAAAAAGAAATAAGGGCAAAATATGACATCGTATTTAAACCTAAAGTGGAGTAATATCCCAGTTGAATACAAAGATTGGCAACAAAAACCAGCATTTTAGCCAGTGAATGCACAAAATCATTATAACAAAGATTAAACAATGCAACTACAGCTCGGCTTTACATAAGCATAAACAGTGCGGGGAAATTGGCGAATTGAAGAGATAGATCTTAATTCAGTCCTGAGGAGCTTTAACACAAAAGGCAAGTCTACCCACCTCCTTTTTAAAACGAGGAACAACAAATGATGGCAAAGTTTTGCAATAACTATTCTTCTGTTACTTCCAGAATCACACATTTCAAATTAGTCAGAATATTTTTGAACGTGTTTTTATTTATTTATTCGGCTTGAAGAAAAATCTGCATCAACGAGTTAAAGTTTGTGCAAAAATGCTAAATTCTTATCAGCCCTCAAAAGCAGGATGTGTTTCCCCTCCTGCCCTTCTCCGGTCTCTGCTTCAGTAAGCGGAGTCGGTCTAGTTCCTGGAGGTTGGAACAAGGTTCTGAGCAGCAGGTTTGAGATCTGGGTTCTCCCGGTGGTCCTCCTGGTTCTGCAGCACAGATGTTGTGTAGAACTTTTAGCACATGCAGAGCTTCAAAGAGCTGCATCGCCAGCTTCCATCGCTGCAGAACCAGCGCATCATCTCCGTCTCAGAGTCTAGATACTGGAGTGGGATTGTTGAGAGCACTGGTCTTGTCTTTTTACTGGGTTCTGACAACACTACACCCCCCCCCCCCCCCCCCCCCCCCCCACACACACACACACACACACGCACTGCCCCATGAGGGCCAGAGTGTGGACCGGATTCTAATCTGGTTTATAGGATGGTCACAGTGTGAACTGGCCTGGAAGCTAATTATGAACAAATCCAGAGTGCAGCTACAGCGTTTCAGATCAATGCACAAGTACTTCCTGTATGTGTGTGACACTGAATAGACCAGTTCATCACACACACACACACACACACACACACACACACACATAGTGATTTTTCCTACAGCTTGGCCTACATTCAAATAATTACAGGCAGCAAACAGCAGTGTGTGTGTGTGTGTGTGTGTGTGTGTGTGTGTGTGTGTGTGTGTGTGTGTGTGTGTGTGTGTGTGTGTGTGTGTGTGTGTGCTGACTGGTGCTATAAATGGCTGTAAAGTGTCTCAGATCAACTGAAGCTGAACACGATGAGTGATGCTGCATGTTGTGTGTCTCTGTGTGACTTGAGGTCATGCTTTGAGGGCTGAAGTGGATTTGCGGTGTGTGTATGTGTGTGTGTGTGTGGTCTGTTGTGTTTTGATGGACTGAAGCTGTGATAATAAACACTTACCTCACTCTTTAGTAGGTCAGCTCAGCTAGAAGTGGGCTGGACCTACTTTTGCCTTCAGTAGGTGTTGGAAACAGTAGTTAGATGTTCTGGTCCATGTCAACATGATAGCACCATCTAGAGTCCTTGAACCCCCCAAGGCGCTTTAATCACCATTCATTCACACACATAGTCACATGCTGGTGATTTGACATTGTAGCCACAGCTGCCCTGGGGCGCACTGACAGAAGCGAGGATGTCGAGCTCTGGCGCCACCGGTCCCTCCGACCACCACCAGCAGGAAAGGCGAGTTAAGTGTCTTGCCCAAGGACACAACAGCAGCATTCTCTGCCGGGAGAATCGATCCTGCAACCTTCTGATTACTGGGCAGCCCGCTCTACCTCCTGAGCTACTGCTGCCCCATGTGAACTGCAGCAGCTGCTCCTACAGTATCTTCTCCTCTCCCTCCCTTCCCGGTGCTCTCGCCTCGTGCATGTGCGTACATCAGAGTGCTGCTAAAGGTCCATTCAGAGTTATTTATGTAAAAGCTGATGTTTCTTCTCTACGTTTCACAGTTTAAATCACAAACTCAGGTTCTGATAAATAAACGTTTCCTTCTTCAGAGCGCGCTCTCCCTCAGGAGCTTCTGCTGCTGGATCTCCTGCAGCAGTGGGGGGCCAGAAGGCCAGAGGTCAGCTTCTACCTCAGACACTGCCCCCCCTGGACTCAAGGTAGGTTCCCCGAAAAACTAACACACACACACACACGAACCGAGTGGGTGTGAGAGGAGCTTTAGTGACGGTGGGAAACAAACTGATTCAGTTTAGAAGCCGGGTCGGTGACTCGGACGGTAATTAGCCTGATAAGTTGATTAGAGTTACATAATGATGCTGCGGGGTGTGTGTGTGTTAGGGGTGGGGGTGGGGGTGTCCGTGAGGACAGATAGCAGATGACTTTATAGAAATGGTTCGACAGAGCTAAAAATGAATGAGTGAATGACCCACGTCTTTACCACCGAGTGCTGATGCGGTATGATTAATTAAACTCGTCTGGCTCTCGCACCGTTAGTTTGCTCACCTTTGATCTGTTTCTCGCTGCTGAAGTTGTTTCCGTCTGTCGGTAAACAGATGTTAGATCCGTCTCCGTTCTCACGCAGCAGCAGTTTGGTCCAAAAGATGAAAAGATCAGCAATTCGTTTCATCTCCTGCAGTGAGGAGAAATGCTGCTGCTGACTAAACCATAAAGAGTAGACGATTTTAAAGGGATACTTTGCAATTTTTTTTATTCTTAATTCATTTTCTTGAGCCAGTATGTGCTAAAATGACCCTTTACAGGGTTAATGAAAGGTCACCCAGCCCCACAGTTGCCTACATACCTGGCGCTGCAGTCTGCTTCCAGCACGTTTCCTGCGTGTTTTGGATCATGAACACAGCGGATTTGTTCAACGTAGGGATGAATCACCCCTGTAGACACTAAGGAAGGCTGGGAGACGTTTCAGCTGTTAGACTGAGGTGTTAAAAAGACACAGCACAGCAACAACATAGGCTTTGCTTCTACAGCCGGACACTAGGGGGTGCTAAAAGCAAGCTAAATCTGCCTAGTCTTCCTTTAAAGAGTAAGTTGCCCCCCACCAAAGTCTAACTCCGCCCACATTTCCTGGGGCGAAGGTGGCACAGGAGTTAAGTGCTCGCACCGTAATCGGAAGGTTGCAGGTTCGAGCCCCGCTCAGTCTGTCGCTGTCGTTGTGTCCTTGGGCAAGGCACTTAACCCACCTTGCCTGCTGGTGGTGGTCGGAGGGACCGGTAGCGCCAGTGCTCGGCAGCCTCGCCTCTGTCAGTGTGCCCCAGGGCAGCTGTGGCTACATCGTAGTTCATCACCACCAGTGTGTGAATGTGTGTGTGAATGGGTGAATGACTGATTGTGTTGTAAAGCGCCTTGGGGGGGTTCCAGGACTCTAGAAGGCGCTCTATCAAACACAGGTCATTTACCATTTCCTGTTTGAAAAATGTGCCACAGTGACTGAGCTCTAATTTTAGGCGTGAAGAACTCTTATTCTACTTACAGGTTTACGAGAGGAACGCCCCATGAAGATAATATAAGACATTTCTTCCTTCTGCCCCTTTTCATTCAAATTGGGTGGTGTTCATGTTTATGTATGTTCTTTTATGTTGTTTGTATATATATATATATATACATATATATACATATATATATATATCTTTTTTTAACACTTTGAATGAAACAAATAGAGGGAAAAAAAAGTGGTTTTGATTTTATGGTTTATGAGCAGATTTATGGTCCTGAAACACTTTTGACTTATTTAAGTTAAAACAGATCAATAGTCGTGAAATTTGGGCTTTTTTTTCTACTGAATTCATAAACATTTTAATTCCTGGTGTTTAACTTCTGCCTCAGCTCTGTATCACACCCTTTATCTCTGGTGTGGACACTTTGATTCTATAAATGCTGCTCTCTTCGCCTTTAGCTGCGTATGATTTTCTCAGTTGATCTATAAATAGCGTCATCGTTTTAAATCCTGCAGACGAGACGGTTTGGATCTCGGTTAATCCTCTGCAGCTCCAAGTTTCACCTTCAGCCGGCGAGCAGCAGCACAGCTGTCCAAGTTTAATTTAACCACAAGAGCACAAAATACACAAGAACTACAAACCTGCTGCTCAGAAAGCAGCTGATCAGCCTGTCAAACCCTGACATGTTTATATGTGTGATAAACAGGAAGTCAGCCGCCGGCGGAGCAGAACCGGACCGCCGAGGCAGCAGAGAGTGAAAAG